TAGATGTATATATATAATATATATAAATATACATTTATTAACATGTATACACACAAAAATATATACAAACAGATAAAAAATATATACAAGCAGATAAAAATCTAATAAGACGAAATTGAAACAAAATTGCGTCCCAAATAAAATTCCCCGCGAAACGGGGAGATCAAAGATCTCCGTTTCCTCATCGACCGCAATCGCGTGTCCTCGCTAAAGCGCGCGCAATCGATTGACAATTGGCGTGGCCGATGATAATAACGAACGTCGCAAAAGGCCACAAAGAAAAACGGATGAGAGAGACAATTCGGCGCCGACGTCACGACGACGACGACGACGACGACGACGTTGCAGCGGAAAAAAAATTACAATCGTCCGCCGCGCGACGTCTTATTGCGCATTAGCGCGTAATTTTGATCTTTGTGTGTTACAAAATTCATCAAGTAAAATCTCTTGTGTCCAAAAGAAACAAGTCTCGCGCGGAGAAACCACGTGCGCTCGTCGCATTGGCCGAAATTAAATCGCGCGTGTGCGAGAGATTCGCGCTCACACTCGTGCGAAATAAAAATTCTCTGCCCGTGTGTTGTTCTATTCTCGGTTCCGTCACCGAGTAGTGAACGAAATTGCGACATTCGGTGACGCGATGATCGCGTTCGAAGTTGCAAAAATTTTATCTCTCTCGAGGAAAACGGAGATAAAAAAAAAAAAAACCAATTCAGCTGAACGTTCGTCAGCGCTTAGTTAAAGGAGACGTGAAAAATTATGAATAACGCATTTGAGAAACAAAAGCGAACGTTCGAATGAACCACGTGTGCGAATGAGATCAAGAGTTTGTTATCTCGGAGTCTCGAAATTGACTCATTATTTTTATCAGCGATCACACAACGCCGACCGTCACATGTACATCATCGTCAAGTGCTTTCTCTCTTACGTATGTAACATCCAGAGAATTTAATTTACTTTCGATATCTTTGAAAAAAAAGAGAAAGAGATACATACATATACATATATATACACGTTATTGAGCGTGTGTGTGTGAGGGGGTTACACAAATTATATATAGAGTCTTAATAGCTCTTCTGCAAACGCGGGCAAAGCCGCTTAAGCCGCGCGGGCAAAAGACAACCCAGCGATGACCAGTTACTCCGGATTTTCCGGAAAACTGACGGACATGTATTTTCGGAAAAGCCACACGTTGACGTTGGCCACGTTTTTTTTACTATGCTCGGCGAGCGTTCTCGCACGTTCTGCGTGTGTGTGTGCGTTCAGGAGCCATTAAATGATACGCACAACACCTGATAATCTCTCTATCTCTCTCTCTTTCCGTAAAACTGTTTTGTACAAACTGATAATTTTGCATCCGTCAACATTTCCACAAACAAACACACAAATCAAACAAAAAGTGCTCAAGTTATTATCGCGTAACGTTCCGTCCGTCAGTCTTTTCTTCTCGACTAACGAACAAACGTGCGCAACAATTGTAATAAAAACAAAAGAAAATCAATTTATTCAATTGACACGTCACGTCTGGAAATTCTTTCGAGTCGCGCTTTCGGAAAAGTCTGCGAAGTCTCGTTTGATCTCGCGATTGTTAAGTATATATATTGAGCTGCGTGCGAAATATAGTATATAAACTCTTTTACACACCTCATGCCGCGAGAAAAATCATATACACAACGTCACAAGGGATTGACGTTAAAAAGGATTTTTGCGTGTTACGTACCTCCAGTTAGAACAACCTTGTACAAGTGTTTCTGCTCCATCTCGTTGTCGATTCTACGATAACTTCCTGCTCCGGTGATCCGCGAGATTCTTGCTCCTATCTAGCCTCTTGTCAAAATTCTCGCCCGCACGAGGACGGTGTGTGTGTTGTTTCCTTCCTCTCTTTTTCACTCTCTCTCTCTCTCTCTCTCTCCGTCGACGACGAGGATGCGCGGACAAGTGCACGACGATGTTCTGATGTTTAACGCAGCGGTAGTCGATACTACATAAATACCTGGTAACGCATCTCGAACAGGCGCGTGCTCGGCCGCGTGCTTGTGCGATGCATGGAAATCACGGCGACGGACGACGACGACGACGACGACGACAGTGACGACACCGACGATGTCGACGAGAGCGCGGACGACGGAATCGACCGGTGCGCGATCAAACAAACGTCTCAGTTCGGGATCGTTTTATTTATTTATTTTATTTTATTTTTTTCTAAAACAGCTATATCTTTACGGGAGTCGAAAGACACACGGCGTGTATCGCACTCGCGCGGAGCTCGGTCGCAAGAGCAGCAACAAACAGAGGCGTCCACCTCGCTCGACCGCTTGGAAGTATCTGAAGTGGAGCCCCTCGCTCGCGCTCGGTCAGCAGCTGGTCGTGGACGAACGATTCGCGCGAAGCACGCGCGCCTCTCGGAACCGGAAGTGACGACCCATGGCGGACATATCCGCACACGGTTTTGAATTGTTTCGCACGAGAACGGTTTGCGTTCAAGAGGCGGGATTGTTTCTCGTTCTTTTTCTCTCGGAATGTTTCTAAAATTTTAAAAATTGATTGGGAAAATTAAATTGTGTGTACATGTTGTTGCAACAGCGTTCAATTTGTATGTTCCCGGTTCGGAGAGCGAACTTTGCAATTTAATAAAATGCTCCCGTCACAAATTCTTATCGTCTGAAACTTTGTACACACACGTGAATATACGTTGTGATACTTTTATCTTTTCGAAAACAATTTTTGCGCAACAAAAAACGGACGAGATAATTATCGTTCTTATAATTTACCGCGAGAAAGCGTTCGCACTTTCCACACTCCGCGTTTAAACGTTGGAAAATTTGTAGCTCGGTGGAAACAAAAGAGGATCTTTATCTCTTGTTGGCACAACTGCAATAAATACGTCATGTTTCTTGATACAAGCTTCCAGTAAATCTTCCGTTTCGTTTTTTGTTGTTTTTTCAATTAATACAAAAGTGCAAGAAGCGAAAAGACACGTGGCACCACAAATGGTTACCTCCTTTTTTTGATTGATTTATTTTGTTCTCTCTGGATTATCAAAAATCCTTCCTTTTCTCGCTCTTTCAAAAAGAGAAGTTTCAAATTTTTTGTCTTGATGTTTAAAAGCCGACGTAAAAAAACGGCTTGTTTCGCGCGACCGGCAGGTTCGTGAAATAAAAACGGCCATATACGTCAGATTTAATTGCACTATATTTTTTTTCTTTCTCACCTGTATATTTACACTATTCTATCGATCAATTTTTCTAATATACAACTGTTGTGTGTGGGTATGTGTGTCTTTAATAAATAACATCCGAATCCACCTATTGAATTGCGCGATGCGTAGTATACATTACTTGGAAAAATCTTTAAAGAAATTTTTCAACACATGTGTGTGTAAATATTTACCTTCGTATATACATACATATAATTTATAGTTAATAAAAAGTTTCTGGATTTACTTTAAAAAAAAAAAAAAGAAAAAAAAAATATATATGTAATATATAATATATATATAAATATATATATATATATATATTATATATATATATATGGGAAAAAAGTCGAGACATCTCTGAAGTTTTTGATTCGTCAAAACACACTTGCAAAATTTGGCGGATTTCCCTTCATTTTTGTAACAGGCACTGCGGACAGATATCCGAGAATTAGCAAGACAATTTCCTTTGAGAATACAATTGTACGGACGCACATCACGTCTCGCCAATGATTTTGTTTTTTCCAGTATTAAACTTTACACTCGTCATATATAAATATTCTTAAATAACCTCATCGTCACTCGTTGTCATTCACCATAGCTCGATGAAATATAGTTAATATAAGAAATATATATAAGCAACTGTATGTATAATAATATGCTTTAACAATGGCAAAACTGAATGTAAGACTTTTGTATACATATATATATATATGTATATATATATATATGTACAATATTAATATTCTAACAATGATCTTCTTCTATACCATCTTCTTATTTATATATCACTCGTCAACATACACATATATCGATGTATGTATATCGTTTCTGTACATAAATTTTTAACAAATGTCAATATACCTCGCGTTAATTATTTAAATTAATTTTCGCGTATAATGGGCACAGTGCGCCTCGCGCAGTTCGTGCGTGAACTTGGCGCGAAACACTACCGCGCCTCTTGATTAATTTGCAGATCCGGGAAAAGGCGCAAAAGTCGTGTATGAAGTAGTTCATTACGTATACTACTTAGTACATAATAAATAGAATAGTCAAAAATTACTCTTTGCTCTTGTTAATGTAATAAGCAATTGTACAAAATCGGTATGATACAAAACAAAACTGCGTTAGAGACAGAGAATTCTCAAAAAAAATATCACAAATTTATAAGCATGATCTCGAATGTTTCTTTAGAGAGTGCAAGTTTTAAAAAATAAAAAAATAAAAAAAAAAACATCTCATTCGCGAAAACTCGGGAACATCGAGAGAACTTGATCTTGCGTGAATCATTCACAAGTCGTTGGAATCAAATCTCTGCACAAATCTCAACGGTATCCCGATGCGTAGCAACTTTCTTGGCGACATGTTTCTTAAGTTTGGATAATAATGATTCAATGCCTGCCAACAGATCTCTGACAGTTTTGGAATCGTCAGCCATGCCGAATAAACCGCATTTGTTCTCTGCACCTGAAACAACTTTAGTTTTAATACTGTTAGATCAACAATATGAAATACAATTGTTTTGAAAGTACATTTGTTGATCAAATACTGTAATGTGGTACATCTCAAAAGATGTAATAATAACCTCATTGTTCACTTTGACTATACCGCCGAATATGTACATACGACCTTCCGGAGTCAACGCTGCCGAGTGGAAGTAAACTGGACTTGGCAGAATGCATTCTCTCAAAAGCGTCCACCGCCGTGTGCTGAGGTCTAATCGCCAGACATCAGAAAACACCCAATCACCGTCGTAACCGCCCGATATAAAAACTGAAGTAACACCGGTCTTCTCATCTTTGTGCTGCACACAGCCATGACAACGCCGTGCTTCCGGCACCATGGTCCCATCGTTGTCGCCATACGTGCTCAACATCTTCCAGCTATTGGTCCACAAATCGAATGTCGGTATTTCCTGAAATATATATATTGTATATGTAAAAATAATAACTTTATGATTTAGTTTTGTACAATTATGTACAATTCTTTATGTTACTCTTTCCTTTTAATAATACACGTTTTCTTACCGAAAAACCAAAAACCTCAGTAGATGTACCGCCACCAAAAACATAGATCAATCTCCCATCGAAGGCTAACTCGTGTCTATATCTTCCCAAAGGTTCTGATTCATCTCTTCCTGAACGTGCATATATCATTTCCCACCTGTGAGTTCTAAGGTCAAACTTGTGAATGTCACAGGTATAGTCATAACCTGTAGTACCACCCATTGTGTAAATATAGGGGCCAAAGCTTACCAGTGCCTAAAAAATTATTTGTTATTAATATACACAATGTACATGAAAAATAAAATATTCTCAAGAATCAGCTAAAAAGCACCCAATTGAGAAAAACAAAGTTCATCGAGAAATGTTTCCTATTTAAATGTATACACAACTTGCAGATAACAACATATATATATATTACCTGACCATATTGCGGTTCAGGTAGTTCTCCCCAAGCTGGCATAATTCTGATAGATCCATTTTCAAGGTTGCAGACGTACAACTGATTGCTACAACTCTCGCCAAAGGGCACACCGGTTCCGCCGTAAACTATCAGCGCGTTGTCGCGTAACACGACCGCGTTTGACGCCAGCTCGTTTGGCATGTTTTCCTGACCCGGCAGCCGCTTCCACTGTTCGCTTGCCAAATTGAAGCGCCACAATTCCTTGAACAGCGGCTTGCTGGCGTTCCATGTCGGATCGTTGACCATGTCCGAGTCGGATACGCAGGGATTGAAGCCACCGTAAGAATAAAGATTCCGATGGTCACACGCGATCCGGTGGCCACTTCTCGCCTTAGGACGTTCAGGCCCATGTCCCTTGTGCACGACGAACACAAACGGTTTGAATGTATACATGTCGGAATGAGTAAAATATGCAATAAATTTTTGGGATGATGTGAGCAGATCGAATTAGGGGTTACGTGACGTTACTCGGCGGATGGTCCACCGAGCACTGCGGCTATTCCTGAATTAGAAAGATCGGCTGCGTGTGCACCGCGATACAATTTAACTTCCGGCAAATCTTGTCTACTTGGAACAACACCGACGAACAAAGTCTTTGAATATGGTTTTGGAAAAAATGGAAACGAGCTTCCATTGAGAGATATCCTCCCGCATTCACAGATGAGAATCATACTATGTGTCCCCTGCTGTTTCTCCTTTTGGGAAACATATCAGGAAACGTATATATTGCGAACGCGCAAAATAAAAGATTTTTATGATCTTCCGCTCGACGTAAACAAAACGGTAGGTAGGTTTTCACCGATACAACATGTCAAATTACCCGTCACTTCAAAAGAGAAGATAAACTTTGTGAAAACTTTCGATCTATCTACCGTTAGAGAACTTTGAACATAAACTATCGTACGGTTTTACATTTTACCAAGGCGCAAAGCGTACGTAAGCACATCAACCAATCCGATCGGCATTCTCGTTACCGTAAAACACGTCCAATTGGTTGCAAAAAATTTACAATCAACCAATTGTATGTAAACAACCGGGAAGCGCAGCTGTTGAACGAGACATAAGAAAATCGACCAATCCAAATCTCTTTTCATTTTCAACCCTACCTCTCGAGACTTTACTTAGAAATTGCGAACGAAATTTTATAAACAACATATAGCAGAGTGAAAATATTCGAAGATGAAAGAAACTCCGCTTACAAATTGTGAGCGAAATTTCATAAACAAATGTATAGAAACAGAAACGGTATGCTTTCAGTTTTATAATAAAATATACCACGTGTGTGTAAAAGTACTTTACAAATTTGTATACTGACAGCCAGTTTAAAGTGCGAGTGACACATGTAAACTCATGTATTTGTTTGTTTTTATGTAATGATTATTTAGAGTAATAGTTTAGATTTTTTTATGATCACACAAACATAAATACTAAACAGTTTGTGTATCTTCAGAGATTAGATGGAAGAGGGTTGTTGCAACCACGTCAACTAACGATCCACTTTGGATCCAACTGGGGATGTTGTATGGTATCTCTTGGACATACAAAGTAAGTTTTTATTTAATGATAAATATATACATCTGATAAATATACGCATCTATAAAATATATATATATATTTAATGTCAAATAACAATGAAGAAAAATCTCTTCATAGAGCAGTGGCACAAGTATCGTGTGATATTCATCAGCCAAAAATATCTCGTCCTAATGAAGGCATAATGTACATAAATGTTGAGCTTACTCCATTAGCAGCTCAACATTTTGAAAGTGGACGCCAATCTGAAGCAGCTATACTGATCAGCAGGCAGTTAGAGAAATGTTTCAAGGATTCAAAGTGCATAGACTTGGAATCTCTCTGTATTGTAGCAGATAAAAAGGTTGTTGTTATATTTTGTTTATTAAAGGTTTGTTTTTACAGTATTTTACACGTGCGAATTGATTATTTATCTTATTCCGCAGGTATGGAACTTGAGAGTCGACGTTAATATTATAAATCATGATGGAAATTTAATTGACTGCGCATCCATAGCAACACTTGCTGCTCTCATGCATTTTCATAGGCCAGATGTTACCTCAACTGGCGAAGAAGTCATTATACATCCGGCTTCCGAAAAAGATTTTCTTCCATTAACATTATTCCATTATCCAGTTTGCGTATCTTTCATAACATTTGAAAGGTTGGTTTCTCTCTTCAAAGATTTATTTACTAAATTTTTAGTCTTTTTAAATTTTTACGAGAAATTCGATTTTATCGAAGATTCGCGCGCGTTTCACGAGATCTTTTGTAAACTTTGCAGTGGCAACACCATAATGGATCCCACACACATCGAAGAAAGAGTTGGTGTTGCTGAGCTCACTCTCGGTATGAATTCATACAGAGAACTTTGTAGCTTGCACTTTGATTACTTAACAAAAACGATGAAGGTCGAAGATGTAATATCTGCCGTTTCTAGTCACGCGGCAAATTATGCGGAAACACTGGTGCGACAAATCAGGGAGGCAGTAGCCAGAGATGTACAATCACGGTATGAGGTTTACGATATTGCAAAGCCTGTTGCCACATGATAATAGCTTCTAACATTTCCACACATTTGTAGATACAAAAAAGATACCAGCAACGTATGTAGGTTTAAAGAAAGTATTCAGATCAATAAACTCACAACAACGATCGGTGATCGTATCAGCATTAAATTACGTAAATGGGACGCAACAGATTTGGCTGAAGGTAAAAAACATTTATAACGTAAAATACATAATGAATTAAATATTTTTCTAATTTTTACTGATAAAAATGTCTAGATGATCTGATGGAGATAGAAGAAGATCTAGACAAAAGTCGCATCGTAAAATATGAAGAAGGATCCGCAGACTTGATATCAGATTCTGACGTAAATAAAGTGATAATTCATTGTTTTACTCACTTTTGCAAGCTTGCTTAATTAACAACAATTTCTCATTATTTTCTTTTCCAGATTTTGATCAAAAAACAGAGTCCTGACAGTTCCAACGACTCTAGCAGTACGTACGACTCTGATACGGATAATCAGAGTCTTGTTGATTTGCCGAAAAAAGAACCAAATTTCGGTAATGAGCAATTTTTTCATATAATTACAATCACCTTGTACATTGCAAAATTTTATATCAACAAATAATTCGTTCTATGTTAATAAAGGCAACGAATATTTTTTTTTGTTTCAGCGGACGATAGCGATTGAAGTTCACAGGTGACGCGATGTAAGAGAGGAGGTAACAGTTAAATAAATAATGAAATAAATTTGGAGATTTCACACACTTGGATTGATTAAGGAAATTTAATTTCTTTTCACGAGTTTTCTGTACATTTTTCTAAGATCGCGCACCAATTACCCTGATCGTAATAGATCTCCTTGATCGTGACCGCGGGCACTTCTGCACACAGTTTTGCCAGTTCGCCCTCCTGAAAGACGTGATAATAACGAAGAAAACGTTCGCCGTCCTTTTTCTTCCAAGGAACCAGCATATCGCTGTGAGCAAAGTTCGTTCTGTTTTCGTGAACCGGCAGCGTTACTTGACAATCGGAAATTCTTTCGCTGATCTCGCTCAAACTGATCCCGTCCTCGCCCCTGTTCTTTTTGCTGTACTTGAGGTAGAACGAATCTGCCGAGTCTTTGCGTTGCTCCTTCGCCCACGCGTAGATCAAACATCTTCCCATTGGCCTGAGCACTCTGATCATTTCGAAAATAGCGCGACGTCTTCGCTCTCGAGTTGACAGGTGATGAATCACCGCGATGCTAATTGTCGCGTCGAAAGAATTGTCTTTATACGGTAGATACAGACAATCGCACTGGAGAACCTCGAAATTCCGCTTGCGACATATACTCGTCAATCCGAAACTGTAATCGCATCCCACCTAAAATGACACTCGAAAATAGCCTAAATCAATTTACATACAGTGTATCTTCCACGTGTATCATACGTAAGAAAATTAGAAAGAAATACTTTGTACGTATTCTGATTTCCGCAAAGATATTTGCCATTTCCACAGCCCACATCTAGCAGCAATGTGCCTTCTTCGAGACTTTCAAGAAATTTGGTTACATTAGGCCACTGTTTGTGTCGCGTCTCACTGAAGTGATTAGATATTTCCTCATAAACCTAAGAACATTTTGTAAATAATAATATGTGACACATATAAGACATATACAAACACTTGTACCTTGTGTACATAGGAATCCTCTAGTCCGGATGCGGCCTTGGAATCGATGAACATAGTAGCTGAGTCATGTATTGAAGAATCACAATATTCTCTGAAATCGCAACAGCATTTACCTCGTCGCACTTTTCTAAAAGTAAACGACACTCTGGTTCCACGTTCCCGCGTCGTAGTTCCCTCGTCTGTCTCGATCACATCGTTGTAACGAGGACAGATACCGTGTGTCCACGCGTATCTCGCCTCTTCCGACATGATCAACAACGATCTGGCGGGTAAGAACACATCGATCTTCCGATCTTCCTTTTTGAAGTTCATAATGCACGCGGAGCCGAGTGACAAGGACAGTATTGTGTCTTCGAAGACACTGTGCGTATCAATGTGTGGCGGTATGCCTGAAATGTACGGTGTTTCTCACTTGAGAACTTTATTGATGTAGATTTACTTCATTCAAGCTTTGGTTCGCAAATTTACGCGTCTATTAAAATTGTCGCAATTAATTCACACAAACAGAGAAAAGAAAAATATTACCGGTAAGATTTAATCCAATTGAACAGGCATAAACTTATGAATCAACAAACCGTCTGAAGCCATCATTACCTTGTCCGGGCAAGTACTTGTTAATGGTCAGCTGGTCGTACGTGTGGTCTTGATTATGTTCGTCAAACAGATCTTGCAAGAATTTATATTCCTCAGGAATTGGTGCGATAGGCTTGTCAGGATCTACCATATTTGTACTGTATTCGAACTCGTATCCAAAATGTTTTACTTGCCTGTGTTTCAGTTGCGACGAGGCAGATTCTGCAAATGTTTTAAAAATGTTTTTCAATAATCTTCCATTAATTGGACTTTACACAAGTTATTATTTTTTTACCATAATCTTCCCAATTAATTGTTCTTAACAGATGTTTTTCTTGTTCTTCTGTTATGAAATTCTCTAGTAACTTAAGACCAGGTGGAAATTCAGAATTAGATGTGTTGTCATCTGTGATAGGAACTAAAAGAAGAAATATATTTTACTTCAAATTAGTCAGTGTTCAATATGTAAGTCTGTTGTAACTTTCTTTAACACAGCATCGCGCACACACCTGTTTCAGTATAGCACATGTATAGCGGCCCATTTTGGCCTGGAAGTTTCATACGTCCGTGAACGTAATTATATACGCATATCGCATCCTTTTTTGAATTACATGTTACAAAACAATACGACTTGTTTATTGGCATTATTAGAACATACTTGGTAATTAATGCATCCAGTACATATTGCAACGTTTCTCTTTTCATACCCGTCACCAAGCCGCCGTTGCAGATCATTAAATGCTGCGTTCAAAGTAAAAACAAATCACGTTTATAAATTATTTTACAAACCTAGAATTCATAGCGTACAATTTATAACATATCTACACGTGTGTGTTGTTGTATACCTGTGTAGGTTCATCAGCGCACTTGATGTTCATATCTCTGATCAGTCTGTGATGAGCGCGTTTCTGTTTGCGAACGTTCTTTCTATGGTTTTTTTCTTTATACTCTTCAATTACAATATTTGTTTTTTCATTCAAAGACATGATCTCCAACGGAAAAGAAAAAACTTATGACACAATTGTGGTAACTCTGTGAAAAAAGAAATTAAATTTATTTGTGTTTGTTGATTTGTTTTTAGTATTTTATTTTGTTATAATATTCCGAACAATATACTGTCAAATTATATGCGTCATGTTGTTAAAACTCTTGTTATCTTTACATACATGTAAATTTATGTTGGAACCGCATTGTGCGCAAGTTCTTCAATTCAGCAGAACGAGACTGCGTTCCAATATTCATTGCAGTACCGACAAAGAGAAGCCTGAGAGCGGCCAGGTCCATAAGAGAATGTGCAATCACTTTTCCGCCCCGTAAACTAACGCATGTCCACGAGTGGTACACATTGGAACTACGCAGCCAGTCCACGAGCGACATGTCGCTCGTCCACAGCGTGCGGTTCTATTCTGTGCTATGTCCACGGGTTTAAATGGTCACTTTCTATATGTAAAACTTCTATTGGCTAAACATTTACCATTTTATTTTAGCACAAAATGTTTACGGAGACTGAGTGACTATAATAGAGTTAAAACAAGAGACTGATTGTGAGAATGGTTACTAACGTTGCAATGTATATGTTATATACGTAAAATTTTATCGAATTGAAATAATTAAAGGCTGAATCGTTACGTGCACATGTTTTTTAAGTGCATGTTTAAAGTGTATCGACAGCCAAGAAAAAATTCCCGGTAGTAACACAAATACGTAAATTTCTTTGTGTTGTATATTTTGCAGGTGATAAAATGTATAGCTTTTCTATCTATAATTTGCTTTAAGTTTATAATTAGAATAATTTGTAAAAGGTATTTGTTTTGGAT